ACCGCTCTATCAAGCAGGTGGTGCTTCTGTAGCGTGGGCAGCCAGGGGCCAGTATTGGCTGCAGCTGGTGGGTTGCGGCTTGGGGCAGCTGAGTGGTTGCCCAGCAGGGTCAGTTGACACCTGTGACACGTGCATTCCGTAAAGCAATGAGTATTTCAGCCCCGCTACTCCACCTCCGGGGCAGCTTCTTGCTCACACAGACCTGGGAAGGCAGTGGAAGGTAGACCACACATGTGGGACCCTGTCACCCTTAAGGGAGACCACGCCCGTGGGACCCTGCCCATGTGGAGGCCACGCCCATGGGACCCTGCGGCCCGAGGAAGAGACCCAAGTGGGGTTCTTGGTTTCTGTCCTCTGGTCAGCCCAGGTCTCGTTGGGAGTAAACCAGTGGATGGAAGATCAATTGATCTCTTTGCCTTTCTAATTAATTGATTGTGTGTGTTTTTTTAAGATTTATTTTTATTATTTTTTTATTGGAAAGGCGGATATACAGAAAGGAGAGACAGAGAGGAAGATCTTCCGTCTGATGATTCACTCCCCAAGTGAGCACAACGGCCGATGCTATGCCGATCCGAAGCCAGGAGCCTCTTCCGGGTCTCCCACGCGGGTGCAGGGTCCCAAAGCTTTGGGCCGTCCTCGACTGCCTTCCCGGGCCACAGGCAGGGAGCTGGAATGGAAGAGGGGCTGCCGGGATAGAACCGGCGCCCATATGGGATCCCGGGCGTGCAAGGCAAGGACCTTAACCACTTGCGCCACCACGCCGGGCCCGATTGTGTTTTTTTAAAAAGCTGCTTGGGATGCCTGCTTTCCGGATTGTGGTGTCTGGTTGCATCCTGACTCTGTGGCTGATGCGAGCTTCAAGACAGTGCCCACGCGTGGAGGCAGCACCTGCCCCCGCCACGGGAGAGCCACGCTGAGCTCTGTGAGCAGGATTCACACATGACGGTAAAGCCTGGTCTGGTCAGACTGTCTGGCTGCTCTCTCCTGCTTGTGTCCCTCTGTGGTGCCCTCCACACTCAGATGCTCCCTTGTGGGTCACGGTCATTTGGTTATTCAGCGTTGTGCTCTTACATGACTGTATGTTTTTAAATAGTGTGTTACGATCTGTTTATTTGGACCTGAACTCTCAGCACGGCTTGTCTCTGCTGTTGGACTTGCTTGGCTCTGCTCTGTGCCCACACCACTTCCACTATATAGGGAGGGATTTTGCTTGATTGCACTTTCTAAATACCCGATGAGGTAAGAGCTTGCTCCCCGCTGCAGTCGCCTCTTGTTTAAAACCAACCTTAACTGCTCTAACAGCTTCCGGAGGAACTCGAACCAACCGTGAGGTGAGGTTGGGCCTATTGACCTGGTCTTTCACCACCACCCACACCCTGGGACACAGGGATTTGGATTGGGAAAGCAGAACTTGCCAGATCCAGCTTTTGGGTGTCCTTGGCTGCCCCAGGCCGTAACGCACCTGTGCCCGTGACGTTCATTAATCAGAAACTGCAGCCCATCACTGTTTCCATTCGCAGGTGGTGACGGAAGGTCCAGGGAGAAGACAGGGTGAGGGGGTGGGTGCGTCCAGGGGTCACACTTCCCCTCTTTTTTTTTTTTTAAGATTTATTTTTCTTTGAAAAGCAGAGCTAGGGTCTGGCAGTGTGGCCTAGCGGCTAAAGTTCTCGCCTTGAATGTGCCGGATCCCATATGGTCACTGGTTGTAATCCTGGTGGCTTCGCTTCCCATCCAGCTCCCTGCTTGTGGCCTGGGAAAGCAGTCAAGGACGGCCCAAAGCTTTGGGACCCTGCAACCGCGTGGAATACCCAGAAGAAGTTCCTGGATCCTGGCTTCGGATCAGCACAGCATCGGCCGTTGTGCTCACTTGGGGAGTGAATCATCGGACGGAGGATCTTTTCTCTGTCTCTCCTCCTCTCTGTATATCTGACTTTGCAATAAAAATAAATAAATAAATCTTTAAAAAAAAAAAAAAAACCAGTTGAAAAGCAGAGCTATACAGGAGTAGAGATAGACAGAGTCTTCCATCCACTAGTTCACACCCAAATGGATGCAACAGCCAAGACAGGGCCAGGCTAAAGTCCAGGTCTTTCTTGTGGGTGCAGGAGCTGGGACTCCTCCTCTTTAGAGGAGAGCCCCCTCCTCTTTATTATCTTTCATTTTGCCCAGTTGTGGAATGAACAGTCTTGGCACCTCCTGGGTGTGTCCCTGGGCTGGGCCCTGCCACCCATGTGACAGTGACCTAGGCAGCCTGAGCCTCCTTTCCTGAGCTCGGTCCGGTGGGGACTGCCCAGCGTCCCCCGCCACTGATGGGCCGGGAGGCCTGGCTGTGTGTGCCAGCCTGGGGGCTCAGGGAAGGATCCTAGCCATTGGTGAGATCACCTGAGTCTTCTGGCTGTTGTCCACTACAACATGGGGTCACTGCTGGGCTGCTGCCCACGTGTGCCCAGGCCCTCTTCCTGCCGACTCACCGCTTAGGCCTGTCTGTCCTGCCTGCCTGGATCCATGCACTATGGACCCCTTCTCAGAAGAACCTTTTCTTATTGTTATTTTCTAATTTTTAAAAAAGATTTATTTATCTTTATTAGAAAGGCAGATTTACAGAGAGAAGGAGAGACAGAAAGATCTTCTGTTCGCTGGTTCACTCCCCAAGTAGCAGCAATGGCTGGAGCTGAGCCGATCTGAAGCCAGGAGCCTGGAGCTTCCTCAGGTCTCCCACGCGGGTGCAGGGTCCCAAGGCTTTGGGCCGTCCTCGACTACCTTCCCAGGCCACAAGCAGGGAGCTGGGTGGGAAGTGGAGCTGCTGGGATTAGAACCGGCGACCACATGGGATCCCGGCGCGTTCAAGATGAGGACCTCAAGCACTACACTACCGCGCCAGAAGAATGATTTTTAAAAACTAAACACGATTACAAAGGATGCTGGTTACAGTCCATTTAGCTGAATCCCTTTTTAAAAAGCATACTCTGGTGGAGCAGATGCCATGGCTCAACAGGCTAATCCATCACCTGCAAGTGCCAACAGACTGTATAGATCCTGGTTGAGAATAACCCAAGTTCTCAGGACCCTGCACCCACATGGGAGACCCAGAAGAAGCTCCAGGCTCCTGCCTTCAGATCGGCTCAGCTCCAGCCATTGCTGCTGTTTGGGGAATGAAGCAGCCAACAGAAGATCTGTCTCTCCTCTTTGTAAATTTGCGTTTCTAAATAAAACTGTTTCAAGAAGAATCAACACCCTGGTAGCTGGAGCCTTTCTCTGTGACCCGGAGGATGTTGAGACCCCGTCCCTGCCGTCATGAGCTCCCTGCTTAGGAGGGTGGCCTGGGATGACGGGACGCCGTACTTGTCATTGTTTATGACAGTTGCACGAGTTGCTTAACCGCTTGCTGTCTCTGGCCTCTAACAGAAAAGAAATGCTAAATTTCAGTTGAGTTCACAAGAATAGAGAGGTGACTTCCCTCAGATGCGTGGGTCTGGGTAGCTCAGGACCAGGGCCGGCGAGGGCTTGGCTGTGTTTCTCAGCTGGAAGCTGCCCCCATTGTGGGACCAGTGCCTGTCCCCACCCACTGGAGTTCTCGGTGCCACCAAGCGCCTAGGGCTCTGTCAGAGAGCTGCTTCTCCCAGGCTGCAGGAAGGGTCGCTGAGCCTGGCCAGGTCCAGCCGCTGGGGAGGCTGGCCGGGGAAGCAGTCGAGGACAGCCCAAAGCCTTGGGACCCTGAACCTGCGTGGGAAACCCGGAAGAGGCTTCTGGCTTCGGATCAGCTCAGCTCTGACCATTGCGATCACTTGGGGAGTGAACCAACAGAAGGAAGATCTTTCTGTCTCTCCTTCTCTCTGTAAATCTGACTTTCCAGTTAAAAAAAAAATGTTAAAAAAAAAAGATTTTAAAAAATATTATTATTTGAAGGAGCCGAAGAGAGATCTTCTATCTTCCAGGTTATTCCCCAGATGGCTGTAGTGAGCAGGTCTGGTGCAAGCCAAAGCCACGAGCCCAGACCTCCATCCAGGTCTCCCTGGTGGGAGGCAAGAGTCTGAGCATCCAGACCCTCCTAAGCAGGGAGCTGGATCAGAAAGCCGACGGCCAGGACTCTGACACACCAGCGTGGAGTGCAGCCTTGTGCCCCGGCAGTAACCCTGGCCCGAGAGCCAGCAGCTGAGGCGTTGAGCTCTCTGCCCTGTTTGCGACCTCTCTTTGTCACCCCAGATAAAACCCAGGCTGCCAACACTGAAAATGGCACGAGCCATTTGCTTATCCATTCAACTGGTGCATGGATAAACAAAATGTGGTAGGCTCTGTGACTGCCACTCAGCAGTGTACAGCGTGAAAAGTCAGCTGCAGGAGGCCACACGGGGTCTGATTCTGGTTTTTGAGTTGGTCAGAAAAGGCAAGTATATGCAGACAGAAACCTCGTGGTGGGCCAAGGGCTTCCCAAGGACAGGCTACGTGCAGCTGTGGGGCACAGCTGTACCTGTCAGCCCGCCTGGTCCTGCGCTGCTGGAGCAGCTGTGGGTGTTGGGTGTGGGCATGGAGACAGGCACAGGTCACTGCTGTCCAGAGCCGAGGGCCGGTCCTGGCTCTGTCCTGTGCCCTTGAACCAAATTCTGCCTCAGAGTGAGGGTTCGGTCTCAGCACCAGGGCAGCGGCCACCTTCACTGGCCCTGGTGACAGGGTGGGCGGAAACAGGCCAGGAGTGGCGCTTGCTGCCAGTCCCTGGGGACCCATGTCTGGGTGGACCTCGGTGCTGCCCATGGTGCTGTTGGGGACATGGTCGTGACCCAGACAGCCCCAGACCAGCAGGAATGCAGCTGCTGAGGCGGGGACTGTTGTGACATTTGCATACCCACGTCCAGGGAACCAGGGTGTGCTGCCTGGAAAGCCGGCTCTGGGATTGGTGCCTGGGACAGCAGTAGGCAGGGAGAAGGCAGAGTGTGGTCAGTGTTGGGGCGAGTGCCCCGAGTGGGCCTGGCTGTGGGGTCCCACACTGTTCCTTGTGTCTGCAGCCCAGAACGTGACCGTGGAGGAGGTGATCGGTGCCTACAAGCAAGCCTGTCAGAAGCTGAGCTGCAGACAGATCCCCAAGCTCCTGCGGCAGCTGCAGGTACAGGTGGGCGGGCTGGCAGGCGGCCCGGGCAGCCCCCGGAGGGGTCCCCGCCCGAGGCTCCCGCGGTAGCTGCAGGTACGGGTGGGCGGGCTGGCAGGCGGCCCGGGCAGCCCCCAGAGGGGTCCCTGCCTGAGGCTCCCGTGTGGGGCGAGCGCTTCTTGCTAGGCTAGATGAGAGACATCGCCTGTGTTTTCCAACCGAGTTCACAGATAGGGAGTCTCCTGAAGCCCTGCCCTAGCACACACGGGGACGATGACAGTGGACGGTGACACGCGGGACGCAGGGCTCGCTAGCTGCAGTTGTGCCCTTCCTGCCATCTGTTGCAGGCACCTTCCCCACAGCAGGTGGTGCACACTGCCTGGTGCCTTCCCACCTGGAGCCAAGCTTTCTGTAGCTGCTCTGTGCACCTGGGTCAGAGGGGCTCCAGTGGGGCCTTGCCAGGTGCTGGCAGCTCAGGCTGGCAGCTGTGGGGACGTGTCCAGGGCCCCTGCCTGGCTTCACATGGACCAGTCCCCTCATCTCCAGAGGCCGGAGAACAGACCTGGGGCTCTGGGTGCTGTGTGAGTGCTTGGCTAGGCAGAGGGGCTGGGAGAGCTCTGAGCTCGTTGTCCCCCTTGCTCCTTTAGGAGCTCCTGCTAGGCCCAGCCTGGGGACCCCCTTCCTCGCAGGCCTTGGCCAGCTCGGTCCCAGCTGCAGCTCCACCTAGGTGGGGGCTCTCTTGCCTCTGCACAACTGCTACGGGCGCCCGCAGCCCCTCCTCTCCAGGTGGCTGGACCTGTCAGGCCTCAGGGTGGTCCGTGTTCAGACCTGTGAGCATAGAGCTCTCTGGCGGCCTCTCGGTCCTGAGCCCCAGCCTGCCCCCTGCACTGCCTTAGTGGAGGAGTGTGCAGCAACAGGGCCCCCGCCTTGGGAGCCGTCCGGCTTGGGCAGGTGCCGGCCGGACACCCTCCTGTCTGTTCCCCAGGAGTTCACGGACCTCGGGCATCGCATCGACTGCCTGGACCTGAAAGGTGTGTGCCCTGGGGCTGAGGTGGCATGCGGGGCTGGGCCTGCTGGGTCAGTGGCCCCTAGTGCCTGCTGCCCTGAGGGAGCAGTGGAGCCAGAGCTTCTGGGCCAGCCACACAGTGCTCACAGACGCCGTGTTCCCCAGGCGAGAAGCTGGACTACAAGGCCTGTGAAGCCCTGGAGGAGGTCTTCAAGAGGCTGCAGTTCAAGGTTGTGGACCTGGAACAGACGAACCTGGATGAAGATGTGAGCAGCCCTTCCCCGGCCCGCTGCGGTGTGGGTGGAGAGGCCCTGGGCAGAGTGAGGACAGGAGGGACACAGAAGGGGGTGTGCTTGGGCCTGGGGCCTGCCCTGGAGGTGTCACCTCCACAGGGCGACCAGGAGACATCTGAAAGCAGCCTGTCCACCCTTGGGGGTTTGGAGGGAGGTCCAGGGTGAGGTCCTGGAGACCCCGGGACTGAGTCTGTCCAGTCTTTGCTGCACAGCTGGCACCAGGACCTGGGGTGCTACCATTCAGCTGCTCCCTCCAGGCTGGACGCCCTGATTGTACTGGGCCTCTCCCCTGAGGCTGTCCCTACCCAGAACCTCTTCACGTCTCTGGGAGGCTGGGCCTCCTCAGCCTGAGGTGGAGCCTTGTCTCTGCCCGCAGGGCGCCTCTGCCCTCTTCGACATGATTGAGTACTACGAGTCGGCCACGCACCTCAACATCTCCTTCAACAAGCACATCGGCACCCGCGGCTGGCAGGCTGCTGCCCACATGATGCGCAAGGTGGGCACCTCCGCTCCCTGGCACATCGCACTGGCCAGGGTGCCTGGTGCCAGACCCTGAGATCTGGATCCCAGTGGGGGAGCAGTGCCAGGAGATGCCCTCTCCCGAGTCTTCCCCGGGTCCCTCTCCCTTGGCTCCTTGTTGAAATCCCTGGAGGTGGTTGTAGCAGCTACCCTGGTTTCATCCACATGTGGGAAGGCTGGGCCCAAAGAGAGGAGGGGCTGGCCTGAAGTCCCCACGCCCCACGTTGGGGAGCTCACACAGCAGCCCCACGCCAGAGCTCTCCTCACCAACCCTGGCTTCAAAACCAGCTGTGGCTTTGCCATCCCCATGAAATGTGGGGAGGCAGGTCCTTCGGCCTGGGGGAGGCCAGGGAGGAGCCTGACTGGGTGCCCTGTCCTGGCCCCCAGACCAGCTGCCTGCAGTACCTGGATGCCCGCAACACACCCCTGCTGGACCACTCGGCACCCTTCGTGGCACGGGCCCTGCGCATCCGCAGCAGCCTGGCTGTGCTGCACTTGGAGAACGCCAGCCTGTCAGGGCGACCCCTCATGCTGCTTGGTGAGCTGTGGGCACCCAAGGCTGTGGGCCTGCCGCTTTCTGCGGCTGGGGAGGGACGTGGGGCTGGCCAGTGACTGCCCGCCTCATCCCCAGCCACTGCCCTCAAGATGAACGTGAGCCTCCGGGAGCTACACCTGGCCGACAACAAGCTCAACGGGCTGCAGGACTCGGCGCAGCTGGGCACCCTGCTCAAGTTCAACTGCTCCCTGCAGATCCTTGACCTCCGTAACAACCACGTGCTGGACTCAGGTGTGTGTGCTGCTGGGCCTGGGGGCATACCCCATGATGCCCTCCCGGGGGCTCACAGCTCCCCTAGAGAGCCATGACCCAGCTTGGGCAGGGGTGGTCGGATACACATCGGAAGTCAGGGGACCAAGGAGGCGGTGAGGCAGGACAGGAAGTTAAAATGACCACAGCCTGCAAAGATGGTGGAGTAAGATGATGCTGGGTGGAGGAGCGCTATGTGCTGTGGTGCCGGGCAGTAGGCTGGGCATCCGACAGAGCCAGTCTTTGGGAAAGCGCTGAGACAGAATCCAGGGGAGGGACTAGTAAGTGTGAAGGCCCTGCTGTGGGAAAGACTGGCACAGCTGTTTGCCATTCTACAGGGGGCAGGGTACGCAGTGGGAGAACTCAGGCCTATGCCCATTCCCATCCCTGCTACCCTGTGAGGTCAGAGTGGGACCCGAAGTCCAGCGCCCCCTGCAGGGCAATACTCCTCCACCTGCCATGCTCCCGTCTCGTGCCACTGCCCTGCTGGAGACGGCTTGGCCCTGGGCACATGTGCACTAGGTGATGGAGACAGGCAAGTCTGGGCTTGCTGCTGAGAGGGTGTCCTGCAGCAGAGACCATCGGGTGGGTATCCCCGGGATGACCAGGGGCCTGGGAGCAGAGCCAACCGGGCTGCCTGCCACGCCCTGACCGCAACCTCCTCCAGGGCTTGCCTACATCTGCGAGGGCCTCAAGGAGCAGAGGAAGGGGCTGGTGACCCTAGTGCTGTGGAACAACCAGCTCACACACACGGGCATGGCCTTCCTGGGCATGACGCTGGTGAGTCGGGCTCCGCCACCCTTGCCTTGCAGGCAGGCACGCTACCCTGCGGGGTCTCCTCCAACTTCTCCAAGAATAGGAGCCCCTTCTTCGCTGCCTCTTTTTTTGCCTCCTGGTGCAGTTAGCACAGAGAGGCCGCGCCTGGGTTGGGGCCGTTGCAGGCAGCCCCACTCCTGCCTCAACTGACGCATATAGGGGTAGGGGTAGGGTTCCGGTTTTCCTCACCCGGGGTGCTCAGGGGAGATCCGTCCCTATTTGGCCTTCTCTGGTTTTCCCCTGACCCTTCCGCACTTCTCCTCCGCCCCCGGGTTTCTGCTTACCCCCACCCTGGCCCAGCCCCACACACAGAGCCTGGAGACCCTGAACCTGGGCCATAACCCCATTGGCAACGAGGGCGTGCGCAACCTCAAGAATGGGCTCATCAGCAACCGCAGCGTGCTGCGCCTCGGTCTGGCCTCCACCAAGCTCACATGCGAGGGTAGGCGCCGCTCCGGGGTGAGGGGGCGCAGGGCCAGCTGGCCATCTAGGCATGGGGCCTGTGGCCAGCCCCTCCGTCCCCCTCCCAGGCGCGGTGGCAGTGGCGGAGTTCATCGCTGAGAGCCCCCGTCTCCTGAGACTGGACCTCCGGGAGAACGAGATCAAGACCGGCGGGCTCATGGCGCTGTCCTTGGCCCTCAAGGTGAACCACTCCCTGCTGCGCCTGGACCTGGACCCCGAGCCCAAGAAAGAGGCGGTGAGCAGGGAGGCCGGGGGACAGGTGGGTGGGCATGCCCGGCCAGGGGCCCAGGGGTCCAGGAGCCCTAGCAGGCCGCTCTGCCCTCAGGTCAAGAGCTTCATCGAGACGCAGAAGGCGCTGCTGGCCGAGATCCAGAACGGCTGCAAGCGCAACTTTGTGCTGGCGCGGGAGCGTGAGGACAAGGAGCAGCAACTGCAGCTGTCGGCCTCCATGCCCGAGATCAGCGTCACTGAAGCCCAGCCTGAGCAGCTGGAGGGGCCGCAGGCCACCCCCGCTGCCGCCCAGAATGGGGGCCCAGAGCCCGGGCCAGGCCCAGATTCGGAAGATTCAGACTCAAACTCTGATGGGGAGGATGAGGACGAAGATGGGGAGCGGGACGAGGCTGGCGAGCACACCAGTCCACCGGCACCTTGTCCTGCCCTGGTGCCCCCGACAGACTCCCTGGGCCCTGGGGACAGCAACACCCCTGGAGCCCCCTCCTCCCCCTCCGAGCAGCGTATCTCCGTGTCCAGCCCGGGCCGGGGCCACAAGGTGTTTGTGGTGACCCGAGTGGAGAGTCCACCGGAGAGGGCAGAGCCCCCTGTACCCCCTTCCCCACCCCCTGCATCCCCACCGCCCTCACCTGTCCTGCCGCCGCCAGCTGAGACCACCAACCCCCAGGCCCTAGAGCCGACTGAGCCGCAGCCACAACCACCACCGCCTCTGGCAGGACCACCACTGCCCAATGGCCTGAAGCCCGAGTTCGCCCTGGCATTGCCCCCAGAGCCGCCCCCAGGGCCTGAGGCCAAGGCAGGCCGCTGCAGCCTGGATCACGGTGAGGAGAACGGGGGACAGGAGGGGGCCCGGGGTTCTCTCTCCCCTTTGGAACGACCCTAGAGGGACAAATACAAGTGAGGCTTGGTCCTCAGGATCTCCCCGTCCTCTGTCCCCACGGCGGGGACTTGTGGAGCCTCAGCCTGGCGTCTTGAGACTCTAGGGGAAGGTGACATGTGCCTGCCCAGCGTCCCCTGACCACAGACCTGCCCTGACTCGCACACAGAGCTGAGCTGCCCCCAGGATGACAGGGAGCTGGAGGAGCTGCTTCTGGAAGCCAGCCAGGAACCTGGGCAGGAGACACTGTGACTGTAGGTGAGGTGGCTGGGGTGTGGGCTGGGAGGGACCCGGAGGGGCCAGAGCGTCCCCGCCCTGACTGCTGGGCCATCTCTGTCTCTCCACTGCAAGTTCCTTTCTTCTGGTTGGGCTCTGCGACATGGTGGCCAGAGCCACGAGAAGCTGCTCGCCCTCGTCGCCAGCCTCCCGAGGCCCAGGGCGCCAGGCGCGGGGACCGCTCCCTCCAACACTACAGGGCAGGAGCCGCCGGCGTGGCCCTCCCGCCCGGACTTCAGCACTTCTATTTATGTGTCCCTGCCTGTCCGCTCACTCCAAGACTGGAAGACGTGGCCGGCTCGGAACGGATGAGACGACGAGGAGGAGATGACAACAACAGTGGCCTCCAAGGATATCAGGCCACCGGGCAGGCCCATTGTAGAGGGGCCTGTCGGCCAAGCCTGCTGTTGAGGCGGGATGGTCCCCGGTGTCCAGGCCCAGGACTGGGCAGGAGGCGCGGCGTGATGATGGTGGTGGTGGTGGTGGTAATTGCTAGATGAGCCCCAGGCAGGGGGTGGGGGGCTGGGCGTGCAGGATCGGAGCTTTCTTTTCTTAAGTGCAATAAATCTATCAGGGAGCGGGGGCAGGCATCGGCGCAGTTCTGGGGACCCTGCTGCCTGGGCCGCGTGAGGTGCCCCCAAGAGCACTACAGGCTGTGGGAGGCTGGGAGGGCAGGGGCTGGGGAGGGGCTGCTCCTGGCCGTGCGGCTCTGTCCACATCTTTTCTAATAAACTGGGGCTGGGCTCACCTGTGCTGGCTAGGCTGTGGCGTTGGTGGGGTGGTGGTGGCAGGAAGCAGGGGTCTCAGACAAATGGGCGGAGTTGCATCTCCCACCCTGTTCTAGGTGACCCATGCCCTGGAATGTGCAGGTCACTCGATGCTCTGTGATGGCAGGGGGTCCCTGCCCTGTGTTTCCAGAGCAGGTGTAGGTCTCTAGGGCGCTGGATATAGCTCTCGGCCTCAGAGGGTGACAGCAGATTGCGGTCTGACCCCATCAGCCCCAAGTGCTTGGGTGGGCAAGTTCCCAGGGCTTACACAAATCCAGCCCCAGAAACCACTCTGGCTCCCTCCTGCCGGTGTGTGACGGGCGTGCAGTGGGAGGGCTGCTGGTGGCATTTCTGAGAACTACCCAGCAGGCTGTGGATGCAGGGGCTGAGGCAAAGCCAGCCCTGTACTGGTCACCTCCTGTTCAGCCCTTGCTGCTCCCCAGGACAACCATGGAGGGAACCCCTGTTGGGATGCAGGACTTGAGGGAGCCTCACACTACTGCCACACTCCACCCCGGGTCCCTGGCTGGCTTTCAGCGGCTGGTGGGCACTTGGGGAGGCCAGCTGTCGGCCCCAGCCCTGAGCCCTGTCCTGCCCGCGGGAGCTGAGTAGGAGGCAGGTAAGGGGGAGCGCCTTCTGGCTGAGGCCGCTGAGAGAGTGACCACCCCGTGTGCAGAGGAGTTCAGTTCTTGGCCTTGCTGGGGGTCTGAGTGCAGCGCCCAGGGGTCTCAGCAGGCCTTGGGTTAGCTGTGCTCACCGCCCATGCATATCTGCCTCAGGAGGTGTCTGTCCCCAAGTCACGCTTGTCTCCCATCCCCTAGGCCTCCACCTGTGTGTCAGGTGGGCTGGGCCCGAGGGGCGTGGCCGGTGGCCCTTTGTGTGGGACCGCTGAGGCACCAGGGGCCTCCTCCCAGCCTGTCCCTGCCTTTCCTGCACCCAGTGGATTTGGGAGTAAAGAATTGGGCTTGGCAGTAGCTGTTGGCCATGCGCATACATGTACATGTTTGGAAACACAGTGTTTGGGGAGGTTGTGAGACCTGGACCAGGATGGGGCCCTTATAGAGGGCCTTTGGATGATGCCAGCTCTGCCCGCAGTGGGCATGCAGGTCCTAGATGCTGCCCATGCACCAGGCTGCCCACCCCAAGGCTGTGGACTTGGAGTCTCCAGAATGACTCCTCCAAGCCTGGGTGGGCCCGCTTTGTGGTTCTGGCTTCCTTCTCTTAGGGTCCAGGCCGCGAGAGGGTCCCCTTGACCCAGGGTTTTGTTCCCTTTGGCTTCATTGTCCTGAGTGGTACCAGGGCTTGCGTCCTCATAGCCTCAGCTGAACACAGCTCTGCCAGGTGAGTGTTCAGCAGGGAGGTCATGGGGAGCATCACCCTGGGAACCCACATCCCCAGGCTGCTTCTGTGCTCTGGGTGGGGTGCCTCTCACTCCTAGGCCCGGCAGGATAGCTGGCTGGGATGCGGAGAAAGGCAACAGCCTATTTCTGTGGTGGGCAGAGGACCCTGTCCCCTGCAGTCCCCTCATCCTCCTTTAGAGTTCCCAGAAGAGCCGCTTGCTGTGGGTGGGGGGCAAGGGAGGGCAGTGTGGATCCCACTGGGCAGAGGGTCTGGCCTCACCCTCAAATCTCATCCAGGTAATGGAATCTCAAGATAGAAAAGAGAAGTCTGCCCCCTGCTGGTAATTGCAGGTCGTAGCGGTGGCTTCCTGCTGGGCCTGGGCAGCCCCAGTCCTCCCTGCCAGCTCCAGCCTGTCCACAGGGCGGTTGTTCCAGCCTGCTGGGCAGAAACTTAAGACTGGCATGTGGCAGGCAAAGGGGGAGGGGGCCGTTGGTCCCAGTGACACAGCAAGGCCCCAGGGCCTCGTCTTGGCAGGCTGTCCCCTACTGGTGAAAACTCTCTCGCAGGTCCCTGCTGGCACAGAAAACTACTCCCCGCACAGGCCCGTGTGCACCTGTGAAACAGCCAGTGTGGTCGGATGTTGGGGTTGGGGCTGCCCAACATCAACCCTGAGGTCCCTGGGCATGTCCAGTGTGGGTCCCCACTGCTTGTGCCCACACCCACTGGGCTGGGCAGGCACTCCACAGGCCTGAGTGGCTGTTCAGTAGCCGGGGCTTGCCCAGAGGCCTGTTGCCCTAGCCTCACCTCCCTAGCAGGTGCTGACCCCAGCCCTGCTCCCTGAGTATCTCCATCACAGCCCCTCCACCTCCCAGGGCTGCTCTGTGACCTGTCCCTTGGGTGGCCCTGCCGTGACCAGCAAATCAGCCCCCCTTGACCAGTTACCTGTCCAGGGGAGGCAGTGCCACCCACTCTGGCTGGCTGAGATGCCTAATTAACCCATTATGCTGAGGGTGGGGCAGCCTGCTGAGGTCATCAGGGACACCACCCTTGGAGATGCCAGCTCCGGTCTGCCCTCACAGGGGCGGGCTCGGGCGTGGGGACAAGGACCTGGCAGGCCCTGGGGCCTGGGTGCTTCTGGCAGCCTGAGTCAGGCTGGCCCGCCTGCCCTTCATTTCCGTTTCCTCCACAGCCCGCCCTGCTGCCAGGGATGCCAGCTGTGGCTGCCAGGGCACAGCTCAGAGGCCTGGCCTCCCTGAGGAGGAAGTGGCCTTGACAGAACTGGACAGGCTTGGTTCCCAGCTTTGAGCCAGGAATCCCGGATGTGGAGACCAACAAGGGGCTTTCCACACTTTTTATTTATTGCACTTGAACCCTGCCTTCCTCACTGGCTCCTCCAGTCCTGCCCCCAGGGCGCTGGCACCTGCCCTGCACCTGCAGGCAACTGCTTGGGGCTTATGTGGCTTAGAGATTGGGAAGATGTTGCCTCGGGTACCCTCCAGCAGGTGCCATGGGTCGACCTTGCCACCTGCCCATGAGTGTCACACTCACGTCCCCTCCTGCTCCTTGCACTGAGGGGAGCACTCAGGCCACTGGCCTCGGCTTGCCCCTGTGAGCCCCATCCTGAGAGCGGTGGGCTTCGCTGGCACTCCGCACTGCGGCCCGTCCTATCGGCGATGCCCCAACTGCACTGTCTGCTCGTGCAGGGGACTTGGGCGGGCTGGCGGGCTTGAGCGCGCTGACCGCCCTGATCTGGCCCATGCGCCGGCGGATGGAGTGGTCCAGGTTGACCGTGCAGCGGAGCAAGCACTGCGCCTCGGCCACGGTGAACGGGAAGTCAGCGCCCAGAAAGCGTTCGAAGAGCTCCGGGTCGCCATCCAGGTCGAGCACGTTTTGTAGCGCCTTGGTCATGGTGTGCAACTCACGGCTGTTGTCACGGAACACGTCCCAAAGGCGTGCCCGGCCCTCCGGCGCGCCCCCAGCCTGCTGCCGGTCCTCCAGGCACTGCAGCACCCAGCTAAGGCGGCAGGGCCACTGGTTGGCGAGCACGACCCAGGCCACAGCCTGGCGCGGCGTGGGGCCGCCGAGGTGCACTTGTTGCTGCTGCAGCAGGCGCACGGTGATGGGCACGGTGTTGACAATACGCCGCATGTACACTACGTTGTCCGGTACGTACTCGTACAGGCAGTCGCGCTCATCGTGCAAGCAGGAGAGTGCCTCCTGGATGCGACGCGCCGCCTCCGCGTCGATGCGGCCTTGTGCGCGCTCAGCACCCGCCTGCGTCTCCACGGCCAGCAGCTGTGCGTCCTCGTCGCCCGCGTCACTGCTGCCTGGGCACCGCAACTTGCGCGTGATCTCTCGGTAGAGCAGGTCGTCGCGGCTCTGCACAGCGTCCTGCAGGAACTGCAGCTTGGTGCGGCGGCCCATGATGGGCACCGAGAAGGGCAGCGTGACGGTGCGGTTGAGGAAGAGGTAGCCGTTGTCGGCCGTGCCCTTCATGTTGCCAGCGCTCTCGAGGCACGCCGCCAGGATGCTGGGGTCCACGACCAGGATGAAGATGAAGGGCGCGTGGCTGTCAGACAGCAGCGTGTTGATGGCGTTGAGCACGCCCACCACGCGCTCTGGATAGCACGTGTCCAACCCGGTGACCTCCAGCACCACGCGCAGGCGGCGCCGTTGGTAGATCTCCAGGAAGCACAGGAAGTCGGTGAGCAGCTCCACCTCCTTCTTCACCTCGCACATGAAACCCAGCTGGCTGCCGAACTTCTCCCGCGACACCAGCCGCTCGATCTTCTTGCGCTGGCTCACGAACAGGTGCTTGCCCACCGAGTACACGGCCATGAGCAGCCCTGAGCCCGAAAGCGTGGTGGCCGCGCCACCGAACACCTTGAGCACACTGCTGCCACCGCCGTGGCCCAGCGCATGACCACTGCTCAGGGACAGGTAAAGCAGCCCTATACCTAGACTCAGTGCCGCCAGCAGCGCCAGCAGCGCCAGGCACACGCGGCGCCGGCAGTGCCATTCGCACTGGCCCAAGCCCGATGTGGTGGCGGGCTTGTTGCCCAGCACTGAGTACACGCTGAAGGGCAGCGCGCCATAGTGGTGCCGGATCCCCTCGCACAGTGTGGTCACCAGGCCGGCCCACAGCTTGTCGGTGCCCGCGTACTGCCAGGCGCTGAAGCGGATGAAGAGGAACTGCACGTTCTTGCGTCTCAGGTGCAGCTCGGTGATGATGGGCTGCAGGAAGACCAGGTAGCACAGCAGCCGCGGGAAGCCCCAGCCGCGCACGGGCCGCGGCCGCCACTGCACGCGCTGCAGCTCTTCGGCCTCGCGCTGCGCCGCCTCTTGCTGCATCAATGCTGTGGGGGAGCGAGAGCGTGGGGGAGACCGTGTGAGGGGGCAGAGCGGGAGGAGCGGGGCTTGCAGCAAGCCACAGGGTGCGGGTGCAGGGGAGTGTGGTGCGGAGGAGCTGGAGGCCGGCCTTGAAGAAGTGGTCGCCCACCAGATACAAAACCTGGCTTCCTGCTCCTTATCCAGGGAGCCCTCTGTGATCCCAGGCTGAGCCCATGGCTCTGGCAGAACCTGGCCAGGTGTGGGAGATGGGGGGCGGCACAGGGGCTGGGACAGTGTCAGCCCCCTCCCCCACCTTGGGCTATCTCCCCAAGGTGTGAGGAGAACAGTGCTTGGGAAAGACTCTTTGGAGTGGATTTAAAGGGAGGCTGAGAGCAGTGGTTGCCTGCTGGGTGAGGAGTGTGGGCTGGGCGGGGGATGCCTAATCCCCCCCTCTGTCGCCATCCCCCCCCCCCAGATCCTCACTGGTAATCTTGTCCAGCATCATGTGCAGGCGGCAGCCGAAGGGCGCGTAGAAGCCCACGGTCACGGGGACCGGCACGTGGCACAGGGTCTTGGCCAGGCAGCTGCAATAGACGTCATCCTCGGTCAGGATGTCTGGGTGGGGGGAGGAGAGGAAACCGGAAGTCAGTGAGGCTGGTGGGGGGCCACCCGTCACCCCTCCACCCTGACCACCCTCAGCCCCTCTGCACCAGAAGGAGGCGGATCCAGGCAAACCCAGCGACAGCAGCTCCTGTGGTCACTGGCAGCCTGAGGCCAAGGCAGGCTGAGTCGGGGAGCCAGCTCTGGCCCTACACCCTGCCCTCACCAGGAAACCCTGCTGGGCTCTCTCCTGCATCCCCGTGGGCCCTCTACAGGGACCCACACACAGCATCTGACGGGAGCCGCAGACAGCTGGATGCCATGCGTGCTCAGCCAGGCAGTGCCATGGTCCTGGGTGGCTGACAAGGACCCAGATTCCTGTATGAGGGTGCCAGGGTGCCCTTGACATGGGAGCCCTGTCCCCACCACCAGGAAGCTACAAACAGGACTGGGGGTGGGATCTAGCTAGCGGGTACAGCACGTCGGGTGTGACTGGAAGCGGGGCCGGGTCAGCCAAGGTGGCGGCCAGGGCAGATCTCGTGCGTCTCTGCCTGGTGACCTCACCGCACCCAGCCCCTGCTTCCCTGGGTGTGCAGCGGGCATTCTGGACCAGCGATCCAGTGGCCTGAGTCCTCACCGAGGGCTGCTCTACATTCCAAGCTGACCTAGCCCCTGCTGCGTGTCCTCGCCTCGGCTGTACTTCAGTGGTAGAACCAGCCTTCCTTATTATCTTCTTCTCTGCACCTGTGCCACCCCAAAGGCAGTGAGCCCTGTGATGCCATCTGCCTGCCCTGCTCCCCTGGGAACACAGCCCAGTGCGCTGCTCCCTGTCTGATGCTCGCCCTGTCCCCTCAATACCAGAGCTGCTCAACAAGCCACCCACCATGTCCTCCATGGCCTGCTGGACCAAGGGATGGACAGGCTGGGTTGAGAGAAAGCAGAGCCCAGATGTCAGCGGTGCGGGAGGCAGGGAGCGAGGCCTCAGCCATCCAGTCCAGGACTGCCACACCATGGGCAGCCTGGCCTGGAAGCCCTAGCGCCCACCGGGGAAGGCAGAGGCAGCCCCCGGAGCCCCAGCGGCTGGGATGAGCATCCCGCCTGGACGGGGTCAGACAGCATCTGCCAGGGAACAGGTGAGTGAGCAAAGCAGGGGCAGCTAGGACCAGAGCCCCCTTGGGTGAGCACCAGGGCTGTAGGAGGTGAAGGAACCGCAGGATGCTGGGGCTGGCAGTGGCCGCGCATCAGTGGGCTCGCTGGGCTCCAGCAGGATCCCGGCTGCCAAGGGCAGGGCTGGGTCGCTGCTGGCCGTGGTGGGGGGCAGCTGGGGCCTGGTGGCAGGGCCCGTGGGGGCAGCGGCCGTGGCTGGCAGCCCCTTCTGGGCCTTGCGTGCCAGGTGGAGTTGTGGCCGTGAAGGGCTAAGAGGTGCAGGTGGGGGCTGCTGTGGCCGCCACTGCTGCTGCTGCTGCCGCTGCAGGACTAGGGACTGGGAGCCCCTGCGTCGGCCACCACTCCGGTGGTTTGGGCAAGCTAGCTGGCACTGTGACTGGGGGGGTGGCCGACAGGGCCCACGGGCTCGAGGGGCCGCTGGGTCCTGGCGCCGCTGGTGACAGCATCCTGGAAGGAAGGAAGTGGGGGTGACTGGGCCTGGGTCTGCTCCCCCTCGGAGGCAGAGACCTGGGACCCCCTAGCTCCTGGGCCCCTGGGGAAGGGGAGCGACAGGTTGTGACACAGAGAGGGGACAGCAGGGACTGGGTGAGTGGCAGGGGTCTCTATACTAGGGTCAGGTCAGGCTGGCAGGAAGGTGGGGACCCCTGCCAGCCCTGGGGGCCTGGATTGGGGCTAAAGGAAGGTCAGAGCCCCTCTCTTGGCAATGCACCTCCTGACTGCCCCAGGCACAAAGTGGGGGTGCCCTTTCCCACCCTGTTGCTCCCCCAGTGGGGGGACAGGTACTAACTTTGCTGTAGGTGGGACTCCACTGTGCAGGCACCCCCCCTCGGGGTACCCCAGCCTCTCTCCAGGGGTCTGCAGGTCTGGGCCCTGCCAGCTAGCTACTCAGCACCGCCCATCTCTCCCTGCCATGGCAACCCCCCCCCCCCACACCACCCTTACCTTTTTGACGCCCCAACTCCGGGTCTAGAAAATAGCGTTCCGAGGTGGTCTCAGCGCCCTTGACGTACTGGACACTGTAGTTGTTGTGCATGGCAGGGGGGGACAGGGGCCTGCTCCTGAGCGGGAGGGGGTGAGGAGGGCTCAGAGCCAGCCTCAGCCGGAACCAACAACCAGGAGCTGAGGTAGGGGTGAACCTGGGCCTCGGGTCACTTGGGAGGGGGGTGGAACTGCATCCTGGAGAGGCAGCGTAGGGGTGGGGTGGCCAGCAGCCTCCTGGAGGGGGTCCCGACTGTGGGTGTGCAGGAACTTCTGGCTCTGGGACCCCAGGGAGTGCTGGTGGACGTGAGGGGAAACTGAGGCTGGGTCCCCGGGGGTGGGAAGCCGGCAAGGTGAGGAGGCAGCGACTGAAGAAGGCCTGGAGCCAGGCGCCTTCAAGAGACTGGGAGTGGGATCAAGGGACAGTGACAAGATGGGGGGCAGTGGGACCACAGCGATCAGAGTCCACTGGGCGCCAGAGCGCGGGGGCGAGGCTGGCTGGGAAGTGGGGAGAAGGCCGCCCGGAGGGAGAGTTGGGGGCCCGTCCTGTTCCCTCTCGCCAACCTGGGGTACCCAGACACGTACCTGGTGGCGGCCTCGCGGCCCCAGCGCCCTGTCCCACAGGAGGCCCGCGCCTTGCCGCCCGCCCGACCGGTTCTCCCGCCCTGGCCCCGCCCGCCTGGCGGCCGCCTGGGCACACACTCCGCTCCGCCGGCGCTGCCACGGGGGTGGACTGGAGGTGGGGAGCTGCCCACGGGTCTCCTGGGCGCCCCGCCTGGCGAGTGTGGAGGAGGAGGACGCCCGTTTGATCCCCAGCCCAGCTGTGTGACCTTGAGCAGGTGAGGTGACTTCACCCCTCTCTGTGCTCGGCTTCCTCATTGCTGAGTGGGCTGGCAGGAGGAATTGGGTAGGCGGCCACGTCCTGGGCACAGACTGACCCAGTTCCCTGGGACAAGTGCAGCCTGCTGCATGTGGTGGAGGGGTTCACTGACCCCCTACCCCCACCACACACACACACACACACAGAGTGGCTTGTCGCTTTCTCATCACACAGTCCCAGGCAGGCTAGAGAAATGCCCCATTTACAGATCAGTAGACCCTGGCCCAGAGCGTGGGTCAGCGCTTTAGGCATCTCCTTGGGCAGGTGAGGATCGGCACAAGCTGGACAAGAGGGAAATTTAACACACAATGGGGGCCGTCTGCTTTCCAGGGCTCCGGTGCCTTGCTGGGGTAGATGAGCTCCCTGAGAGAGAGGGGTCTACTCTCCCTGGGGGTGCCCCCTGCCTCCCACCAGGGATGGTTCTCTCCAGCCAGGGATACTAGCTCCCAGCATCCTGGGTGCTGTGGGAGTCTGGAGCTGGTGTGAAATGTGTCTTTGGGGAGAGAGGGGGTCCCCTTGCTTCCTGCTCAGCTGAGACTCACAAGACAGTTTGGGTCCAGGACACTCCCATCCCCCATAACTAGCGACTGGAGGAGGTGTGGGGTGGACTGTGTCTGCTGATGCGCAGGTTGCTGGGTGCTGGGGAGCAGGCTGGGAAGGGAATGACAGAAGCTGGGGTCCAGCACGGAGCCTGCCTGCTGGAAGGGTCCCAAGCAGGCAGTAGCTCTGCTCGTCCATCTGTTGATCTCTTGGTCCAGGCCTCGGTTCACAGCTCCGAGGCCGGGCCACTCACCTGCATTAGGCAGAGGCCGGCAGAGCCCAATGTCAGTCCAGGAGGGATCCCCAGAGTCACTGATGAGGACCAGGGACGTCAGAGGGGTGGCACCCAGAGACATGCACAGCCGGGCCCTTGTCCTGGTGCCACTCAGCTTTGCTGGGCCCGAGAGATGCAAACCTGTGTTTTTTGGGGAGTGGTACATGGGGTGACTGGCTCCTCCCTCGACCATGCAGCCTCAGGTCCTGACTGGCCCTGGGTCCGGTCATGGCCTGCTGTTGAGGAGCCTAGGCCCTGCTCCCCACATGAGAGGGAGCTCCAATCTGGGCTTCACCCACTCCCCGCCCTCTTCACCTCACCCCCAGCCCGGGCGGGCAGAGGGCAGCTCCGGACTTGTTGACAAAGCGCAGCCTGGGGCTGGATGTGTAGGGAGAGAGGTGTCTGTTTAGGGGCCATGCCATGGACAAGGGTTGCTGATGGTCTGGGATGGGGGGTCCTGCTCCCTGCATCCTGCCATGATGTCACTGCTCCACGTTTGTGTCCCTTTCCTCGCCGTGACCCGCATGCCACATGTAAAACCTTTATTGTATCCATCACCGCAGCCCCACCTGCCTGCCCAGAGTCCCCAGGCCCCTCCTCTGGCACACGCTTCTGCTGCCTCGGGGATCCTGGCCTCAGCATCCCCGGAGTCCTCAGGGCTTCTGGATCACCACCTGGAACTTACCTGCAAGAGAAGGGCTGGCTTCAGCGCCAGGCCGGGGCCTGCAGGAGTGGCAGCTCCGGAATGCTCATCCCTGCCCTGGGCCACGGCCTGGGGGGCCTGGATGAACCAGGCCCCGGTCGGATCAGTGGGTTCAAGCGGGTGATGCTGGCGTCCGGCTGGCCTGCGTCCTGGGGCTGTGTGGGCTGAGGACAGGGCTGGAGGCCAGACATGTAGGCCACGGGGAGGGGCCCAGGCCAGGCCTCTCTGGCATGTGCGGCCCTGGTCCTCCCTCCCGGCCCCTGGGGGGCCCCGTGAGTGGCCAGCAGAACCGGAAGAGGGAAGGGCAGGGGTGAAGGGTTGGCACAGAGGTGCCAGGGGACTTGTGCTTGTTTGATGGAGATGGAGGGGTGCTTGCCGACACCCTGTCAGGTGCCTGGCTGCCTTGGGAAACCCTCCTCTCCCCCTGCAGAGGTGGTACCAGGAGGACCTGCATCATGTCCAGCCAGCAGGGGTGGGGGGTTGGTGACCTGGGATGACTGGGCCATTCTCTCCCAGTGAACCAAGTTGCCAGGACGGCCCTGGGGCCAGCACCTGCTGGGGTGATGCCAGCTCCTTAGAGCCTGTGTGACATGGGGCCGGGCAGCCAGGGCTGGCCTCCTCCCAGCACCCACACAGAAGCCCCCAGCAGGCTGGAGGGGTGAGGAGAAGCCCCCTTCAGTGACTCACAGGCGGGCAGGGCTGCCACAGAGGCGGTGACCGAGCTCCTGAAGCCCAGGGTGTGGAGGCTGCCACGCAGGATGCCGCAAGGGAAGGCCAGGAACTGGGGTAGGGGAGACACAGACCATTGTGGGAAGCAAGGGAGGCCTGGGGCCTTAGCAGGGCGCGGGGAGGAAGTCCCAGGGCTCCTCTGCTCCCATACCTTGGCTGCTTCCTCCCGGTACTGCAGGCCAGAGGCCATGGGGAGCAGGAGCGGGAAGCTGTTGTCCTGTAGAACGTAGGTCCCCTGGAGGGGGCAGGGGGCAGGAGAGAGCCAGGTGGCCAGGCCTGAGGTTGGATGGACCCTTCACGGGAGCCCAGGGGGTGGTCACAGGCCTGGCCTCACAGCTCCCCTGGGCCACGCCCACCAGGGAAGTCCCCTTACCCCCATCCCCACCTGGTGGTTGGTGCGCAGCCCGTCCATTTGCTTACGGAATGCGGCCACCCACAGGTCTTTGCACAGGAACTTGAGGACATCTAACTCCTCCCTGAAGACCAGCGTGTCCTGGGGCAGTCTGGGCCGGGGCAGGGGTTGGGGTTCAGATGTGTGTCGTGTGTAGGGGGAGAACAGGACACACCAGGCCATATATCCTGCCCCACCCAGACAGGCCCAGCACCTGCGAGACCCGGCCCTGGGGTCTGCCCATCCCTGCTGGTCCCCAGCTCTCACCTCTCACCCAGGGCCTGGCCAACACGGAAGCCCAAGCTCTCCAGGATTGACAGGTTCACCCTCTGTCCCTATGCAGGCAGGGGAGAGAGGCTCAGGGGAGAACCTCAAGGGGTGGTCGGCCTCCTACCTGCACCCTGGGTCAGCTCCACGCTCTGACTTGCCCCTGTGGGCCCTGTGAGGACTCTGGTGGGGGGGGCAGGGAGGGTCTTCCTTGGAAGTTCCCCAAACGCCTGTAACTGGATTCACGCACTTTTCCAAGGTGGGCATGGGGCTGGGAAGGATGCATGGATCCCAGGGGAAGGTCTGATGAGGCAGGACCCAGGCCCACAGAGGGGTAACAGCAGGAGGCTTTGAGGTGACCTAGAGTAGGAGCTGGGTTGGCCTGGGGCGTGGGAGCTGCCAGGTGACAGAAGGTAGGGACAGAGAGAAGGGCACAGAGTCCTGGAGCCCTTTGCCATCACCAGGCCCAGCTGATTTTGGCCTCGCCTCTGGGGAAGCCATGCATGTTGCTTCTTTCCAAGGCCATCTGGGTGGCCAGTGGAAGGGCTCAACAGAGACTCGGGCCCTGTCGACATGTCCTGGCCCTGTCCTGCTCAGGACAGGGTCCTCAGCCCAACCCTGCCTGGTGTGGGTCCTTGGAGCCACATCATGCATACATGCATGGAGCCCGGTGCCGTGGTGGTGGCAGGGCTGGGGGTGCCTGGGACCCTCCTGTTTGAACCCAGGGGCTGGAAGGTGTCCCAGGAGCACCCACAGCTCTCATAGCAGGGTGCCCCTTGGCTCTGCCTTGGATGGCCAGGCCTTGCCTTGAGACACTGAACTGTGTGCTGGAAGGGGTAAGATGTGACCTTGCAGTCAGCTTGGGGACAGTGGGAGGACCCTTCCCCCACGCGGGCCCCAGCTTATGCTGACACTCAGCATCTCCCTGAGGTGCTGGGGGCTGGCACTGAGCTGGTCCTCGGCAGTTCCAGGCTCACGAGGGAGGCGACCCTTGCTGGCAGGGGGATCCCACGTGCCCTGTTGGGACCGACGAAATGGGGGAGCATAGTAAGCAAACCCAACGAGAAAGGCTGAGGCGCGGGGCGATGGCGTAGCGGTTAAAGTCCTCGCCTTGAACGCGCAGGGATCCCATATGGTTGCCAGTTCTAAATCCTGGCAGCCATGCTTCCCATCCAGTTCCCTGCTTGTGGCCTGGGAAAGCAGTCGAGGATGGCTAAAAGTCTTGGGACCCTGCACCTGTGTGGGAGACCCAGAAGAGCTCCTGGCTCCTGGCTTCTTATTGGTTCAGCTCCAGCCATTGTGGTCACTTGGGGAGTGAACCATCAGACGGAGGATCTTCCTCTCTGTCTGTTCTCTCTGTATATCTGCCTTTCCAATAAAAGTAAATAAATCTTGAAAGAAGGAAAGAAAGGCTGCTGGGAGCTGGCTGGTGAGGTCCCTCCAGGCCTAGGTGGTGGGCAGGACAGTGGTGCCCCAGGTGGCATGGGGCTGAGCAGCATCTGGTAGGGTCAGGGTCAGCAGGCATGCCGAGGCCTGGGAGAGGAGAGCTCGGTGGACTTCACGGTGCTGGGGTTGAGAGCTGGCTGTCCTGTGCCTCAGTGGCCTCACATGTCCCTGCTCGTCGTGACGGCGTGACTGGGTCACGGTCGTTGCTCGACACCTGGCTGTCATCACTGCAGGCCTCATGGTGCCCATCCCACTACCATGTTGCTCAGATGGCAGCCGCAGGCGCACGCCCATATGGCCAGCCGCAGGGTGGCTGCACCTGCCGGCAGGAGAGGCGTTGGATGTGGGGCATTGGGCATGGGGCCTGGACGGAATGCAGATGAAGGCCAGGGTTGTCTGGGGGGCTTAGCTGTGGGGAGGGTCAAGTTGGTTTTTCTGATCTCACACGGGTCAGGAGGGGCTTGTCTCTGGTTAAAGGAGAGCAGTGGCTGTGCTAACCCTGGTCACTTGCTGAATCTCCTGCTGGTCAGCCTCGGTCAGCCAGGTGTCTACTTCCAAGGCGCCAGAGGTGATGGCCGCCCCCTCGGCTCGCCAAGTTCCCGGCTCCCGGCTCCCGGCTTTGGCGATGGACTGCCTGGCTGCATCCTGACCGCCTCCCCGTGTCTCCCCTTCTTCATCCCCAGCTGTGAGGAGGCGTTAAGGAATGGAGGAAGGGGAGGATCAAAGCCGAGCAGGCCGGACCTGGTGGAGCAGGAGTTGAATGAAAGGCCCCGGCTTTCCTGGGGCTCCACGCCAGGTAACCAAAGCCCACCTCGCACGGCAGGAAGCCCGCGCGTCCCCGAGGCCGGCACTCGGCCTGCCCCACCCCACGGCTCCCGGCGCTCACCCCCGGGGTGCTGGGGTCGGGGTCGTGATCCCCAAACTCCGCCACCATCTCCTGGTGCAGAAACTCGAAGAGTACGGAATCCGCCATGCGCCCACGGACCGCCCGGCGCTGCTTGCTCCCATTGGCCGGCTCGCGTAAGCCCCGCCCGCTCCCGCTTCCATTGGTGTTTTTGGACGTAGCCCCGCCTTCCCGCCCTGGGCTCACGCGCACGCCGCGTGAACCCGAGGCGCCTAAAGGGACCCGCCTACTCTTTTGATTGGCCATCAGTGACAGTAGCATCTTCCGCCCGTCCCTCCGTCCCTTCGCTACTTCCGGGTTCTCGAGCATTGCCATTGGCAGAATGAGTATTCACACGTGACACCATCATTTGTGTTTTTCAACTCCTATTTGCCCACTACTGACTTGGCTGGCCGCCCAACCCGGAAGCGCCGACCGGACCGCTTGTCTATTGGCCGAGCCCCCGTTCACGTGACTCCCCGGCACGCTAAGCTCGTGCGGACAACTTGCAACCCGGTTAGTGCTTTGGCCGCCAAGGCCCGCCCACCGCCGCGTCCTATTGGCTGAAGCCGCTGCCGCTCGAGCTCCGGCGGGTGGGGACGCTGCGCTTGGGGCGGCTAGCGGATCGCGAGGAGCTCCGGGGTCCCGGTAGGTGCTGGGCGGCGTGGCGCGCTCGGGGCGACCCTGCCGTGCGGCCGGAGCGGCCTAGGAGCCGCCCTCACGCCGCCCCTTGTCGTTCTTCCCTCCTGGCCGGTAGGCATGGCGTCCCAGGGGCGTCGGCGGAGACCCGAGACCATGGTGCCGGGGGAGGCGGCCGAGACGGACTCGGAGCTGACGGGGTCGTCGTCCGAGGAGGAGGAGCTGTACCTGGGTCCCGCGGGCCCGACGCGCGGCCGCCCCACGGGGCTGCGGGTGGCGGGCGAGGCCGCCGAGACCGACTCGGAGTCGGAGCCCGAGCCCACGGCGGCGCCCCGGGACCTGCCTGCGCTCGTGGTGCAGCGGGAGGCGGCGGCGGAGGAGGAGGAGGCGGCCTCGGCGGCCCCGGCGCGCTCCCTGCTGCAGCTCCGGCTGGCCGAGAGCCAGGCCCGGCTGGACCACGACGTGGCCGCGGCCGTGAGCGGCGTGTACCGCCGTGCTGGCCGCGATGTGGCCGCCCTGGCCGGCAGGCTGGCGGCGGCGCAGGCGGCGGGGCTGGCGGCCGCCCACAGCGTGCGCCTGGCCCGGGGGGACCTGTGCGCGCTGGCCGAGCGCCTGGACATCGTGGCCAGCTGCTGCTTGCTGCCGGACATCCGTGGCGTTCCGGGGACCGAGCCGGAGCAGGAGCCGGGGCCGCGGGCCTAGCCGGGACTCGTCCTGTGTGCTGTCACCTGCTTGCATCTGCCAGGACACCTCCTGACGCCCCCCACCCTGTCCCCTTGTATCTTATGGTGGAATGGGCTTCCTTGGGTGGTTCCCAGCCTGCTGACACTACCTATGGGAACCTGGGCTGCAGGTACTCCCTAAGCTTCCTTCCTTGGGACCCCAAAGGATGCCGCCTGGCTCCAGACCTCAGGTGACTTCTGGGGGGCCGTCCAGTGCCACGTGACACTCGCTCCTGGTGACACCATCACTTCCTGGGTGCTTCAGGGGTCCGAGGTTTCTGATTTCGCCAGGGGCTGGGGCGCAATGCCTGTATTTTCCCCTTCTCCCCAGCTCCCTGCCCTGTAGCTTGGGGTCAGAGCCCCTAGGGAGGGAGGGAGCGCTGTCTGCCACAGGGGTATGAGAACCCCAGCTGGCAGTGGGGGGGCTTCCTGGACCCCCTAGGCCACCTCACCAAAGGTGAAGCAGTGCCTGGGGTGGCAGTGCCCCTGCTGTTCTGCCAACATTTGTTTCCCTGTCAGTGGAGCTGTGGGGGTCCCCGCCTGCCTCCCCAGAGTGCGCAGCCCCCTGGGAAGGTAGCTGTGAATAAATCCTGGGCGTGTCTCAGGCTCCTAACAGTTTAGGTGTGATTCTTTGGGCGCTAGGCTTTGAGAAGCGCAGACGTCTGGGGAGGGCAGGGTGGCTTCTCTGAGCCGCGCAGGGAGGAGTCAGGACTCGGAGGGGAAAGCTGCGGACATGGGGAGGAGTGGCCAGCCTCTGATGGCATCTTCCTCGCCCACCCGGCTCTGCGTTTACTGCTTCCCATTTTGTCTCTTAAACGATTCCTCCGTGTGGCCCGGTTTTTATGACCTTGATGCTTTTTGAAGATGGTGGGTTGGTTATTTTATAGTACAGCCTTGCTTTTGGCCCGTCTGATGTTTCCTCCCGAGGAGCCGGGGGTGGGGGGGTGGGGGGGTGGTTGTGGCGGGGATGGTGCGTTCTCGTTGCGTCGTGCCAGGGGCCATGCAACACCGGCTTGCCTCAGGACTGGTGACGTTAACTTTGATGGCTCTGGAGAGCTGCGTCTGCCAGGTCCCTCCGCTGCTGCACCTGCTGCCTTCCCTCGCGGTTAGCAAGGACTTGACGGGAGGGATTTTTTACATGGCTTATTTTATGGAGAAGCAAGGTGGCCAGGAGGGAGACACGGAGCTCTCCGTCTACTGATTCACTCCCAAAGTGGCCACAACAGTTGAAGTTGAGCCGGTCAGAAGCCAGGAAATTCTTCCTATAAAATTTTTTTTTTTTAAGATTTATTTATTTTTATTGCAAAGTCAGATATACTGAGAGGAGGAGACACAGAGAGGAAGATCTTCCGTCCGATGATTCACTCCCCAACCTGCTGCAACAGCTGGTGCTGAGCCGATAAGAAGCTTGGAGCCAGGAGCTTCCTCCGGGTTTCCCACGCGGGTGCAGGGTCCCAAGGCTTTGGGCCGTCCTCGACTGCTTTCCCAGGCCACAAGCAGGGAGCTGGATGGGAAGCAGGTCAGCCGGGATTAGAACCGGCGACCATATGGGATCAGGGCTTGTGCAAGGCGAGAACTTTAACCACTGTGGCATGGCGCTGGGCCCAAAATAAATAAATTAAAAAGAAAAATCTAAAAATGAAAATAAAAAAACAGCACCCTGACACAGAGATTTCCCTTGCAGCTGCCATCCCCCCTACTCTTGCAGTCTGCCTTGCTAAGGACACGCCAGCAGGCGTCATGTGTGTCAGTCTGTAAACCTGCGTGGACCCAATAGGTAGCAGCCCAAGCCCTTGGTTCCCATTAGGGCCCCTTTGGTGCTGCATTGTCTGGGTGTGGCAGGTCTGTTCCCAGGAGCGGTTTCCTGGCCCGTGTGTGTCCCCAACCTTCCCACTGTCCACACACGCCCTTCCCTGTGCTGGCCCCTTCTGTGTCTTCTTGTGGCTTGATGGCTCAGTGCTTCCCTTTTCTGTGTAATGGTTGTGTATAGCGCTGGCGTGGTGACACAGTGGGTTAAGCAGGAGCCCTGCGAAGCACAGGTTCGAGTCCCAGCTGTTCCACTTATGATCCAGCTTTCTGCTCACACATTGGGAAGCTAGGATTGAAGAGGGCCTCAGTCCTTGAGCCCTTGCCCTGCGCACGGGAGCCCGGATGAGGTTCCAGGCTCCTGGCTTTGGCCTGGCACAGTCCCAGGGAATGAGCCCAATGGATGGAAGATCTCTGTGTCTGTCTGTCTTTTCCCCTTTTTCAAATAAAATAAATTTAAAAACAAACACATAAACAACAACAACAACAAACACACAGCTTACGCTGCTGTGCTACAGGGACAGCCCCAACAACTCATTTCATTTTCTACTGACTGATACCCAAGGTCTGGGTGAGCCACAGCGTTGGTCCCGGGGCACCTGCTGACTGATGGCTTGGCTGCTCACAGCTGCCCGCAGCTGCACGTGGTCCTCAGCCTGGGGTGACCGGTGCCTGTGCAGTATGTGTCAGGCAATATTTCAGGCACGGGCAGACAACTTCATAATTCATGAGAGGACCCGGTGCAGTAGCCTAGTGGCTAAGGTCCTTGTCTTGCACGTGCCAGGATCCCATATGGGTGCCAGTTAGTATCCCAGCGGCACTGCTTCCCACCCAGCTCCCTGCCTGTGGCCTGGGAAAGCAGTTGAGGACGGCCCAAAGCCTTGGGATCCTGCACCCGTGTGGGAGACCTGGAGGAGGCTCCTGCCTCCCAGCTTCGGATCAGCTCAGCTCTGGCTGTTGTGAGAGTGAACCAGCCGATGGAAACTCTCTCTGTCTCTCCTTCTCTTTGTAAATCTGAGTTTCCAATAAAAATAAATCAATCTTGTTTAAACATTCATGGTAGATGGAATGAAAAGTTCAGAATATTTGTTACAGAAAGCTGAAATTGGTGCAGAGGAGGGGTTTTCCAGCGGTTCCGTGGGGACTTTGCAGGGATCTCAGAACTGAGACGGGCGTAGGTCTTTCTCATTCCACTTTATTAACTTGAGAGGCGGAGAAAAAGAGCAAGTGAGAGAGCTCACAGGCCCTGGTTCACTCCCAAATGCCCCCAGTGGCTGAAGCCAGGAGGCGGGAACTCAGTCCAGGCCGCCCGCAGGTGAGCCAAGCCTGATGCCTCCCGGGGTGTGCAGACGCCGGAAGCTGCAGCCAGGACCCCCGCACTCACACTGGAGGGGCGGGGTGTGAACACCTTAACTAGAGCCCTAACCACCAGGCTAAACACTGAGGCCTGGCTTTCTCTGATATTCCCAGAAGCCGTTCAAGCACCCTTCTGCAGAGACGGATAAGCATTCCCCTGGCTTCCAGACCTTTGCTGGCGCCCTCCGCTGGACAAGGGTGCATGCCCTTGAGCGGGCTCAGTTCTCCCCACTTCCCGGCAGGGGTGGGGCAGGGTTCAGGAGTGACTGCCGGAGGTCCTGGGGTCACACCTTCCGGGGGCAGTGCGGGCTGACACACAGCAGTCACCCAGCCTGAGACCCAGGCTCGGCTGCCTTGCACGGTGCCTGCATGGCAGGGCAGGTTCAGGCGTACACCCATGTGCCTCCGTAGCTTGCCTGAGCCCCGGGGACCGCTCCCCTCAGAATCTGCAGCTCTCTTGTAGCTGGCGCCTGCTCATAGCCACCCAGACCACGTCGTGTGAGTCCCCGAGGACGTGGGGGTCCTGTCTCCCCGGGCTCACAGGAGCTGGCTGGGGTTGCAGCACGCACTCAGCATGGACAGGCAGCGTGGCTGCAGCCGTGTGCCTGAGGACGGAGGTTCTTCAGACAGAGCTGCAGCAAGGGGAATTGGAAAAGGTGTGAAAAACTGTGTGAAGTGCATGCACTGTTTCTCCCTGGCATTGCCTGTGCGTGGATTTCAGTTTTCTTGCCCCGGAATAGACCTATCTTATTTCCTTTGCCACCAGCTCTGTACCGGTTGGGAGGGACACAGTAGCAAGTCAATGAGGTTAGCTATAATATTCAAATATGTTTGTTGTTGGGGCTGTGGGAATAAAGAGAAGCCCTATTATTTTTCTTTATAAAATGTTTACTGGGGCCCGGCGGCGTGGCCTAGCAGCTGAGGTCCTCGCCTTGAATGCGCCGGGATCCCTTATGGGCACCGGCTCTAATCCCGGCAGCTCCACTTCCCATCCAGCTCCCTGCTTGTGACCTAGGAAGGCAGTCGAGGACGGCCCAAAACCTTGGGACCTTGCACCTGTGTGGGAGACCCAGAAGGAAGTTCCTGGCTCCTGGCTTCAGATCGGCGCAGCACAGGCTGTTGCACTCAGTTGGGGAGTGAATCATTGGACAGAAGATCTTCCTCTCTATCTCTCCTCCTCTCTGTAAATATGACTTTGTAATAAAAATAAATAAATCTTAAAAAAATGTTTACTGATTTATCTAAGAGGTAAGAAGGGAGGTAGACAGCTGCCCACTGAATCACTCAAGAAATGCCCACAGCAGCTGGGGCTGGCCAGGCTGAAGCCACAAACTCCATCCAGGTCTCCCACGTGGAGGCAGGACCCATGCATACGAGCAGTCACCTAACGCCTCCCAGGAAGTGCACTAGCCGGAAGCTGGAGCTAGGAGCTGGTGCCTGAAAATTAAAAAGTGTTTTTTTCTTTTTTTAAAGATTAATTTGCTTTAAAGTTAGAGAGGGAGAGAGAGAGATTGCGATTCCATGATGTTCCAGATGGCTGCAATGACCAGGGCTGTGCGAGTCCCAAGCCAGGCGCCAGCAGTTCCATCCAGTTCTCCAACTCGAGCCGCTTTCCCACTGCTTCTCCCAGCTGCACAGGCAGGGAGCTGGATGGGAAGTGGAGCAGCTGGGACGTGAGCCAGTGCTTGTGTGGGATGCTGGTGTCACAGCAGGCAGCTTTGCCCACTGCTGCACACGCAGGTGCCATGACGTGGGATGCGGTTGGCCCAAGCTGCCAGGTGCCAGAGAAGGCTCTTAGGCCTGGCACAGGGCCTGGCAGGGATTTTCCGTGCGACCAGTCAGGGTGGTTTCGTGTGTCTCCCTGCGGGACTGTGGGCGTGATCGAGTCAACACTAGGATTTATACTAGGATTGGGTTTTGCCAATTAAGTATGACAAAGCAAGAGGCAGGCACGGGAGTCCTTTGTAAAGATGAAAAGACCCAACTCCTACGCTTGTGAGGTAACTTGGCCTCAATTGTAAAACAAGGAAGTGGCCAGGACTCAGATCCAAGCTGCATGACTTGAAAAATACATATATCTATATATCTATATATCTGTATCTGTAGATATAGATATAAAGGCAGAGTCAGAGGAGGGGAGAGAGAGAGAGAGAGGTCTTCCATATGCTGATTCACTCCCCAAATGGTCCCAGCAACTGGGACTGGACCTGACCGAATCAGGGAGCCAGGAGCTCCAGCCGGTCTCCCACTCAGGGGCAAGGTCCCAAGCAATTGGGCCATCTTCCGCTGCTTTCCCAGGTACACTAACAGGGAGCTAGATCAGAAGTAGAGCAGTTGGGACTCAAACCAACACTGCTATGGGATGCAGGTGTCACAGGCAGCAGCGGAACCCACTGTGCCGCCGCGTCACCCCTCAGCCCTTTCTCACTAATAGCGTACTGCACGTT